GATGATAGACATTCAACTCTGTCTAAGACAGCATTATTGGACCAATGCTAATTTTCAGTCCTAGATAGTGTCCCGAATAAGAAGATAAGAAGATTTAGCAAAGACAACGCGACTTCTTATAAGAACACAAAAGCGCGCAAAGGACTAAACACGACTTCCAGTTTGCCGATCTGCCATTGGTCAACTCGGTTATAGATCTGCGCGCGCCTACTACGTCACTGTCTTCACGCTGCCTTTGTTTAATTGCCTGGCCCCAGTTGTTCAAACGTTGCATAGCACTATGCAGTGGATAAAACACAATCCAGCGGGCAAGTGTTTGGAAAAGCACTTGCGCCATGTACTGGATAGAGAGCTATCCAGTGGATAGCCTTATCCAGCTTTTGAGCAACTTGGACCTGTTGTCTAAAGACAAGAGACCGTAAAGGTCTTTATAAAGGTCTTTTCTTGCCATAAAGGTCTTTATGGTCTCTTGCTAATGAACAACAGGAACGGTCATTGTCATTTTTAAGAAGATGACTGTGAAATTAATGGGTCTGTTAAATAGATCTGACCGTATTTTTACAGTACATATATATAAATAGAAAACAGTACTGGTCACGTTCATGTGTCTTTATCATTACTTTCCTCCTCTTCTGGTATGGTCGCGTTAGATTCTGTTGCTTCTTTGTCGCATTTGAAGAAGTCTACAAACTCCTCCCAGGAGAGCTGTCCATCTGCATTTTTGTCAAACATGCTGATAAGTTCTTCTGCCTCCTCTCGGCTCAGTTTCTCTCCGCTGTTGCAAACCACGTAAAGTAGCTCATCTGGGGATATGTAACCGTTGCCATCACGGTCGAACTTCCTGTAAAATAACGGCGTCATTGTCAATTAATTTCCAATCTCGTACCTATAGTCTTCGGGCTCTTTGGTCAGCAGGTGGTCGCCAGAAGGGTAGGTACCTCATATATGATTCCTATAGTGTACCGAGATATAGAGAATCTATATCTCAGTACATTGTAGGAATCATATATGAGGTACCTACCGCCAGGAGAAGACCACCCGCTGACCAAAAAGCCCGAGGTTTCTGGGTACCGGCGGAATTGATCAAATTCGTCCTTGAAGCTTTCTCTGCTAAGAAGGTGGGGCACCCTGTGAATAGGTTTGTAATATCAAGGAGTAAAAGACTGTTTACAGCCAAGCAAACTGTAACGAACGCGATATGAGCATGAA